CAGTTCTAGTCGTATGCATGTTCAGATTGGAGATGATTTTATTCAAATGGGTTGGACTGTAAGTTTGTAATCATGTATATATATATCAGGTTGACATATGGCTAAAATATTATTAAATGCAAAGCCTGATAAATAGACAATTTTATAAGTGTATAATATTATTGTCTTGAAAATGTTTACATTTCAGGTAAATCTAATGTTATATTCTGACAGCAAAACTCGATTTTTTGTGTATACAAAAGTAAGTTTATTATTCATATATGTATGTCTAACTTATGTATAAATGATCTCATAGATATTTGTACGATAGGCATAACGATGTATAAAATGATCCAGGCAGGTGAACATGAATGTTATAACAGCATGTGTCCAACTGGATTCATATCGGTTCGTTCAGATATACCTCTTGGTCATGTTCTCCCTCCTAGTATTCGTGGTGTAAATAGTTTCATAAATACACATGCCTTACTTAAGGTTAGTTATTAATATTTTCTTTTCTTTTCTCATATACTAATTATCTATATTTATAGCTAAACAATTTATTTTTAAGCGTTATGTTTCACAAACTGTTATCTAACAAATAGAACAATATAACCTATATCAAACAGAATAATGAAACAATAAATGAATATATGTAATAAATCAGACATATTGTTATCTAACAAATAGAACAATATTACCTATATCAAACAGAATAATGAAAAAATAAATAAATTTATGTAATAAACCAGACATGTAAACATAAGAAATTCAACAACCTTTTATTTATTCTGGAAGTTTCTTAGGCTTTTTTCCCAACAAATGTATATGATTTGTTTGATAGTAATAGTGATATATTTGTGTTTTGACGTGACTATTGATCAAAGGACAAGGCAAATGGTAATTGGTGGTTGGTGTTTCAAGGAGTAGAAATTGGATTTTGGCCAGGAAATAGATTTAAACAAACTCTTGCCAACAAGGTCGAGTGGGGAGGAGAAGTATACAGTGCATTTATGTCGAGTCCTCAGATGGGAAACGATAATTTTCCGATTAAGCACCCTCTTTACGACGCATATATATGTAATATAACTACGGTCAACGAGAATTTTAAGATTGATGATCGTGTAAATAATACAGAGACATTCTCATATAATACCCATGGTTATAAAGTGATAGACGATATACATTCACAGTTTAATGTCAAACATATGATACATTTTGGGGGTCCTGGGAATATTTAAAAAAGAGAAGATATTTTTATGTATAAGTTGGAGATATATTCTGTTAATTAACTTGTAACCGAACATCTAAAATAAATTATTCATCTTCCTTGTCTATCATTTGTTTGGTGTGTATATGGATATAACCGAACATCTAAAATAAATTATTCATCTTCCTTGTCTATCATTTGTTTGGTGTGTATATGGATACGAAACTATATAGCCAAAATCTTCTACTAGAATAATAATGATAAAAGGGGACTTCACAAGTCATATTTGCCACTCTTTATGTTTAAATTCGGTAGGTTTCTTCATCATTAGTTAAAAGGATGTTACAAAATGGCAAAAGACAATGTACTTTATGTTTAAAGTCGGTAGGTTTTTTAATCATTAGTTTTATAGCAATGGATTTAGTTTTATAATAAAATTTAGATTTTTAGACAAGATAATTAATCTTATCGTGGCATATATGAGTCAATCGGTTAAATTTATACAAATATAAAATAATATTTCTAATTAGATTTATCCACATTTCAAAAAATTTATCTATCTAAAAGTAATAATATCTTAATTTGTTAAATAGTAAAATGTAATCCTACTTTAAATAGGATTAGAAATATTTAACTATATGAATATATATGATATAATTTAGTTG